GGGGGGGGGGGGGGGGGGGGGGGGGGGGGGGGGGGGGGGGGGGGGGGGCGGGGGGGGGGGGGGGGGGGGCGCAGCAGTTTCCCACAGATGTGTCATCCCTGCCACCCCCTCTTCACACCTGATTCCTTCACCTTCCAGAAGTAACCCTGGAGAGTGTGAGTTTCATCTGTTGGAAACTATCTTTGTATGATGGGAAATGCAAAAAGAAGAAACTGCCTGGATCTTGGGCCTAGGCAGTGAGTCTGTTGTGGTCAGCGGTAGTTGTTTTTGTTTCTGGTATAGATGCATATCCTGACGTGTCTGCCGTGAAACAGCCTTCTGGGCAGCGTGCACCTCTATTCGTTTTGAGCCCCTTGAGGGAAGCCTTGGTGTGCTTGGGGGGCGCTTTGTGAGTATTGATTAATGGATCCACCTTTAGGGCAAGCACACGTGCTTGGAGGACTGGGATAAGCAAAGAAGGTTATAGTCAAATCGACCACAGGCCTGGGGAAGAGAGTGGGGCACAGAATCTCTTAAAAATGGTGAAGACCCTAGGAAAAGCATTCTACTTAATAAAAGGAATTTATAAATCCTTTTATAGAGGGTTGGGTGAGCTGATCTTTAAAGTACCTTTCTTTAAAATTCTTTAAAATGAATCTAGGCAATGCTACTGATACTATTTATAAAAATATTCCATAGGGTAAAATGGTTCCAGTAAAAGATAGGTTTTGGTTTCCACTGATGTTTTTTGACTTTCACCTGAATTGATGGCACTGTACTCTTTTTCCGTTTCAGTTCCCTTGATGAAGTGGGCTGTACTGGCATTTCCCAGGTCCCTGGGCTCCACTTTTATAAACAAAATGAGTTCAGCCTCTTATTTTGCAATCTCTTTTCTGCGATGTGTGTGTGTGTGTGTTTTACTTATGACTTCTGAATCTTTCCTTTCTTCCTTCCTTCCCTCCCTCTCTGCCTTCCTTCCTTCCTTCCTTCTTTTACTTAAAACTCGGCTCCTGGTGAATTTGCATTACTTAATTGTGTTCTCTCAACAATGCCAAATTCAACTCAGATTTTCAGGCCACGGCAAGCATTACTGACTGTCAAAACAGAAAGGAAAGTTACAAATCTTTTTAGTCTAATTTCTCATCCAACAGGTGAGGAAACAGAGGGCCAGAGGTGAAACAACCGTCCGTGTCATGTAGCTAACACAATGGCAGGAGATGGCCCATATCTCAGTCCCCAAGTTCCTCGTTCAGTGAGCTTCCAACTATCCATTGATGTCCCACTCTCCAACTAAATCTTATCTAATTTATAGCCTTCTTGAAAGAATTTATTTCCGTTTCTTCCTCCTCCTAGTTTTTTGAAGCCCATGCTGAATTGAGAAATGAAAATACCAGCTGCATTTTTCAGAACTGTGTATGTCAGTCACATCCACACCACGGCAGTGGACGAGGCCTCAGAAACTGCTAGAAGGAGAGTGCCCACAGTAAATGGCAGGCTGACTTCATCCTCATAGCATTAGAGGTGTGGTCATCGGCTCAAGGGACTGTCCCTTCCTGGTTATCAAAGCTCGGTTAGAGTGTGGATGTTTCCTTTAGAAAATTGCCAACTCTCAGGCTCATCCAGTGACTGGCCAGAAAAGGTATAAAATGCCATAGTTTGACAAACATGGGCTTTACAGAAAACAGAACTGGGGCCTTAGGAGTAGGAGAGGAAAAGGAGATGGCCGCTGAGGGACTGGGCATGGATTTAGGCAAATGCTGCAGGATGGTTGCAGCTGACATTTGATCCGGAGAAGAATTTGAAAGGTCATGACTTCTAGAGCCTTCGGCTCTCACGGGCTTAAAAATCCAGTCATGCCAGTGAAGACATCACATCTCAGGAAATGGGAGGTAGGCCCACAGTCCTTCCTACGTACCTCTGGATTTTTAGATGCAATTTCCTCTGGCACTTTTCATTTTTTCTCTCAAAGACAGAATAATAAAAGATGACAGAGGGGCTGGCCCAGTGGCGCACTGGAGAGTGCGCCACTTGGAAGTGCGGCGGTGCTCCCGCTGAGGGTTTGGATCCCATGTGGCTGAGCGCGGTGCGGGCGCAACACCGAGGGTTGCGATCCCGTTACCGGTCAGTAAAAAAAAGACAAAAAGGAAAAAAAAAAAAAGATGACAGAGAAAAGCTTCTTATGATCTCACCTCATTAAGGAGGTCATCTTTGTTTCCTATAGTACCACAAAAGAGGACGATCCCCCGTCCCTCAAAAAAAAAAAAAAAAAAAAAAAAAATTTTACCTTTTCCCAGTGATTACCAGTCAGGGGAATGGCTTGCTGGTCAGATAACTTGCGTTTCTGACTCTTATTAAGCCACCCACACTAAGTAAGGAGAGCTTGGCTGAAGACAGATATGAGGCCTTCAATTTGCAAGTAAGAAGAAAAAAAATCCATGACAAATAGAACTGGAGATACAGAAAATGGAACTAGGTGAGATCTGTTTCTCATGGGACTGGTAATCTCTAAGGCAGGTGCCCTGATTTCTACTTCTTCTGTCCTTCCCTCAATGCCTGATCCCAAAGTGCTGAAAACAACAACAGTCACCCTCCTCCAACCCCCAAAGAAAGTTACTGTCTGAGCTGAGGGCAGGGCAACAGTTTGTGACTCACAGGGACACAGCCTCTGTGCAACCCAGGCCGGGAGCCTGCTACGCCGTGGAAACTAGATTCCAAAACACTGGGTGGGCTTCTGGGGCTGTGGGGTCTAAGATAGGATGAAACTAGCCAAAGGACCGATTGCAGCTGGAAAAGAGCCGCTACTCTTAAAAGATAGCAGGACACTTGGCTGGCAAGAGCAAGAGTGTTAGAAGATGAAAATCTTTGGCCCATTAAAAAGGACTTGGGTTGTTGGGACAGGGCGCGGCTGATCTGTTTCCTCTAAAGGGGAGTTGTTGGCAAAGATCTCTTGTTGAGGCTTCTTCTCTGGGCTGGCGTGAGAACCTGGCCATGACCAGATTACAAATACTGGGAAGGTGAAGGGCATCTCAGAAGGAGGGCAGTAAAAGAAGGTGTGTGCCTGTCACCACAACGGTCTGCACTCCACGACTTGCTTTTGAATTGGTCTTTTAAGAAAGCTTCCCGCATTTCCTCCGTGGTGGGAAAGGAGGGGAAGGTTAAGGATGACTGGGTAGGAGGGAGACGCAGACCGACCAAGGGCCGGGCTCCAGGGCAGCAGAAACCATGAGCAGATGATGGTTGACTGATTCCTGCCACACCCCCACTTCCTTCAAATACTCGTAATATGTTGCAAAGCACATTACTACTTCCCTCCCCCCAGATTCATATCATGAAATACAAACAAATGACAGAAAAGATCGGCTGGCTGGCAGCCCCCCACTGCTCAGAACTGTAAGGACCGCCGTTTCCTCCCCGCCGTGAGACGGTGGCTGTAGGGGCGCATCTTCATTTCCACGAAGGGGATGGAGAACTCGTGGCCCTTCCAATGGTACCAGTTGATCCCCTGGACATGAGAAAGACAAGCATATCAGATGGCCCTTGCCCTCCGGAAGAGCACCCACTTGAAGAGAGAGAGGGGACTGATGGGAACAGGGAATCCAAGACGTGGATTTAGCTATTTCCCATGAACGTGAAGCTCTGCGGTCAAGTTTCCAACAAGCCAAAAGGAGCCAAGTGTCTTTCCAGCTTTCCCCTTACACACGCCTACAGCCTGGCTCTTTTTTGGGAACATGTGGCAGGTCATTCCTATTGCCAGCTTTGTTTTAGGCTTTCAGGAGTTGCATGCACCTGTAGATGGTGGTGAATTTCAAAATCCCAATAGTGTGGAAGAATTTTGGAGAGAATGACTGTGTTTGACTGCTCACTCTCCATGAAAGACTCACATGGTTTTCACCTAGGATGACCAACCATCTGGTTTGCCCAGAACTAAGGCATTTCCCTGGATGTGGGTCTTTCAGTGCTAAAACTGGGAAAGTCCCAGTTGGTGCAGCTGGTCTCACTAACAGCCAGCCACGCCTGTAGACTTGTAGTCTCTGATGGGGGAGGATAGACCAGTTTACACTGGTATTTCTCTTATCTCTCTCTGGCACCCTTCTTAGAGTGAAGTTGAGCCTGTGACACTGTCCCCAGAATCGATAATCTCTTCACGGGCTCTGCCAGATGAGGAATTGAAATGGGACTTGACTGGGCATCAAGAGATTCTCTGGGTGAGTTCTGGCTCCTGGGTCAGATGCTCTGCTTTCTTCCTCTGGCTTCTGCTCTGTCCTGTCTTTATCCCTGTGCCTGCATTACTTTTCTCTTTATGACAGTTCTTTCTCAAGACTCTAAGTATTTCTTTTTAAAAGGAAAATGTAAGACTTGCATGTGCATTTAAAACACAAAGCAAAGGGATCATGGTTGCGTAGCTCTGGGCCATTCAGGAGTGGCCGGCCTCACCTACCTGACTGTGCCTGGACTCCCCGTATTTCCCGTTGAGGTTGGTCCGGTGACAGTTCTTATACCACCAAGCTCCCATGTATGACATGGCACAGTTGGTAACTGCAACATCATTGTCTCTGTCCTTGGTGGAGAAAGGGCGTCCCTGATGATAGCTGAGGGAGTCCCCTGCAAAAAAGGTATGTTTGTGAGACTGCCCCATTTGTCACTCTTTTATCAGGATTTTCTGGACATTCAACTCACTTGCAGTAAACCTGGCCTCCACTTATGGAACCTTCCACTTACCTCTCCCGTTTCCCTCCTGTTTCCACCCCGTTCCTTAGCCTGGCTGTGCAGAACTCTTACTCTGCCTAACCCCTGGGGCCAAGTACTTCCATGCTGCTCTCCCATTTCCTCATCCCCTGAGCTTTTGCTGAGAACTCTGTCCACACAGCCCCACCTCATGGCCTGTCTGCTTGCTCCAGGCCTGCAAGGGGACGTAGAACACCTGGGGTCCCTTTGTCTCAGAGGAGACAGTGATGAGCCATGGCCACTTGGACCATGCTGAGTCACACTGTGCAGCCTCAGCTGGGGCTTCTCCTTGGGTCACCAGTCCTGGTCAGACCACCCCCAAAACCCAGGTCCAGAACTTGGTGCCACATGTGGAGAGGGACCTTAGCGAACTAGAGTTCCTGTCTTAGGAAACAAGATGGTGAAAAAATCAAAACCGTGGCAGAGGAAAAGTGGCGGGAAAACGGCTGCATTTTGGAGAAGAGCAGGCTTGAAGGATCTTTGATCACTGTCCCCAATTTTTAACATTTCCAACTTCTTTCACCCTAAGCCACATTCATATCCTTTATCTTAAAAATTCCTGGACTAATCCTGCTCTCTAGTGACCCTTTCTTTCAGCATCAGTCCCTTGATTCTGCTGTCTCCCCCCACAGTTCTATCCTCTCGCCCCTGCTTCTCTCTCTGTAATCCTCACCTTGTCCTTGTTACTCTCCTGGAACAATTCTTTCCAGCTCCATGCCGATGGGGCCGGCCGCTGTCTCAGACACGCTCCCCACGTTGGTCTTTCTGTCCTCCCCAAACCTAGTCTCCCTCTCCATTTCTGTCTCCTATCACCACTTCATTTTCAACACATTAACTAAGACCTGGTTTTCTCTCTCAAACCACGGTCCAGATTTATACCTTTCTCTTAATCGCAGCATTAGTCAAGGCTCCTATTATCTCCTATCAGGATTAATGCAGCAGCCCCTGGCTGGCCTCTGCAATCCTCACTCAGATTTACTTTATCCTGTTTATGGCTGTCACGCTGATCTTCCTAAAGCCCCACTTCCATTATTCCATCAGGACTTACAGTGGCTCCCCACTGCCCACCGTGTTAAGACTGAATTCCTCTGCTCCCTCGGTTGCAAAGCTGTCCAGGGCCTGGCTCCGACCCCTCCACCAGTCTTCTTTCTATTCCCCCTGAACTTACACTCTGCCAAGGTCAGCCAGGCCCTTCCACGTCAGCTGGGCCCTTCCAGCCTTTCCTTCCACCACAGTGACTGTCCTTCCATGGCTCCTCTTCCAGAATCTGTCTTCCTCACCATAGGGATTCCTTCAAATGCTGCTGCCCTCATGAAGCCTTCGTCCACTACCCAGACCCCCCTCCCCTGAACGCCCCTTAAACTGGGAGTGAGAACCATTTACTGTGGGGTGAGTTACTTCCTAAGTGTTCCTTTTAAAACTAGATGTTTAGTTCTTGCAGAGTCTGTGTTTTATGCATCTTTTGCATCTCTACCATTTGCCCCATAAACCTTTAAAAGTTGCTCACAACCTCTTATCGATAACCTGATTTGGAATTTTCAGTCCTCATCCAAGTGCAGTCCCAGGTAGAGACTTGGATGTTTGTAGCCTTGAGAAATGGGGAGCAGGAGAAGGGACTGAATTTGGATTGGAGGCCCTTGGGATGGACTGTTGCTACCAGTAGTGCTAGTAAAAATGAGTAACAACTAGAGATAAAGGCCACAGGTTTCGGGTAATGTTAAATGCCAAAAAGAGAGGGGATGGGCCTTTCTTCCCTGGCAAACTTCTGGTCTAGAAAAAACATCCATTGATTGTGTGGAGTTACCTAGAGAGAGGGGCAGCCTAAATGGGCTCAGCTTTTCCTGCTTTTGAAGATGATGAACTAAATACTCGAGGTGAGGAATCAGACAGTAATTAATTTTTGATGATCAGCTAAACATTGTCAGTATTTGTCTCTGAAATGTGAGTTGGAATGCAGTCCAACAGCTCTGCTCTTGCTGGGGCTCGGCAGGGAGATGGAGCTGGAACAGAGGAGGCAGGGGCTGGGCTCACGGTGGACAGACGAAGGCACAGGCGTGGAGCGGGACGGAGAGGAGAGAGGAAGGGAGACATGTAAGGAAGTGGGAGGGCTCACTTATCTTCCTGTAGGAGAAGTAGGAATGGCTTTTCTGTGGGCACAATTCTAATTTTAAGGAGTGAATAGCATCACGTTATTTTTGAAATGATTTAGTCTGACATCTTGTTTAATACGCTCCATTTCAATGGCTATTTTATGTCCAAAGTGTGGCAAATTGGACCTTTTGTTGAGGCACTTCAGGCTGGTCTGATTGCCATTGGGAATGATCTCAAATATGAACAATAACAAAAGAAAGCACGTCTTCTCTTTGGAGTAAAAATACCTGGCTGAGAAGAGTAGTAATTGAACAGATGCAGTAATTGGAAGGGCACATCTTGATGCTCTTGTTAATTTCAAGAGGCATAAAAATGTTGCTAAAATTATATACCAGCATTTAGCCCTAAAATTGGAGTTAATGAAAGGGCCAATAATTCCATGTACCAAACAGTTGAATATTTGGCGAACAAGGTTTTTATGAAATGTGTTAGGACAGAACACAGGAAACAGATTGGCAAAGCCCAAGAAGCAGACTGGATGTTAAGTTCAGATAAAACTATTAATACCACAGAGCTTACAGGGACGGTTGTTCTGCTTAGTAGAAATGCCATAAAAATCTATACAGAAAACCTGACCACGTATGTAGTTCTCGTGGAGGAATGAAAAGAAACGTGGGCAGCGAGGACCACTCACTGGTGTCATTTGCTCCTGGATGTGATGTTGTGATGACTGCTGATGGCCAAGGCAGGGGGTGAAAGGGCTGGGGCATCTCAGAGAATGGGGGATCTGTACTATTTTTGTTAGTTCAAAGATGGTTTTCCTAAATGTCATTGCAGGGGAGATTTCTACATGGACAATAAGTGATTCCGCTCTCACTGGATAAGAGCCCATATTGATTACTGTGAACAAGAAAAGCAATCCTATGCTCTCACATTGCACTTTTTATATTTTTTAACTTAAAAGCATCTTCACGGCATTTATCACTTTTTTTCTCCTGGCTAGTCTGTGAAGCAGGGCAAGCATTATTATTATTATTATTTTCCAGATGAGGAAACTGAAGTCCTGAGAAATTGATTTCAGGTCACCTGAGTGGCTGGGGAGAGCCAGGACCAGAGCGACCCCGCCGCCTGGACTTCCTCACTGGCTAGAGGGAATTCACGAGGGGCCCCGTCCTGCTGCACGCCCGCTGCCCGGGGGTCACCCAGGGGCCACAGGTACCTGCAGTGCCATTGTAGCTTCCCAGGCGGAGTTTGTACAGGCTTCTGCTGTCCTCCACAGAGAATCTGTCATAGGAAGCAAAGGCGGCCTCCTGACCATCCCGCATATCCACACGCAGCTCATAGCGGCCCTGGGACGTGATCCTGTGTATGTTGTCCAGCCCTGTGGAGAAGAGCGGACCATGCCCTGAGTCTGGCCCCAGCAGCCTTGGAAATGGGAGGAAAAATGCAACTGTGACCATGAAACAGATGCTATGGGGAAGGGGAGGGGTATCCAGATGGTGTTTGTCCTCAGCCCTCCCCAGGTTCTTGTCAAATAGACCCTGCCAGAGTCTGAATTTCCTCCTGCAAGGAGGTCAGCCCAGGTGTGCTGATGAGTTTCCACTACAGACAGCTCAGGGGGCAGGGTCCTAACATCCAGTGCTGACCCAGTAATTGACAAGCCCTGAGCCTCAGGATTCCAGGCCCTGTCCCCTGCCACCTTCTACACCAAACCACGGTATTGGAAGAAAATTATAAGAGGCATTACATGGGTATGAGTCCTTTGGTGTGAGTGGTGAGAAAGCAGAGGTAGAGGTGCTGATCAGAGGAGTTCAGTGTGTCCAGGATATCTGGATATCCCAACACCTTCTAGCAGCCTGCAGAGGGGGCTCTGTCCACCTTTTATTACACTGCCCCTGCTGTTCTCAGCCTCAGGCCTCCTGGGGCTCCCGTGGCCAGGTCAGAGATTGCTGTTCTCTGCCTCCTGACTCAGTGCCTTTCTCTCTAATCTCCCTGCTACACCTTGCTCTGCTACCTCTTCACTGGTCTTTCTGGCCCGTTATCCCCACTCACCTGCGCTCTCCTTGGTCTCTGAGCTTTCTAGGCCTTGGTCTAATACATTCTCGTAAAGTGAAAACCCCTGTAAGTGCAGAGTTTAGGTGAAGGGCAGATCCCTCTTGGTGATATTTTCTCATATATATTTTCCTGTCTGTTTGACCTGGTTGGCTTTGCCCTGGGACCCTCAGATTGTGACCAACCTGACCACACCCCGAGCCTCTCACCTTACATTGCTGGTGACCTCCGAGTCCTCCTGATTTCTATCTGCTCGTTGAACTGGGGTTCTCTTGCTTTGCTGTGACATCTAACATCTATCTGAGTGTGCCATGATTTAGAATCAAAGAATTGCAGAGATGGAAGGACATTTAGAGATTACTGAGGCCAGCCTCTTTTTTTTGTGGAAGAGGAAGATGAAGTCCAGAGAGGTGAAATGATTGGCTGGAGGTCACCCAGAGCTTTTGGCTTTCCTATCCCATCTGAGATTTGAAGCTTTACCTTGATTATAAGTAGAAGGCTGTTTGACTGCTGTTCGCAGAATTGCTGACCCACAACCTCCCCTAGACGTGTGCTTGCGCAGATGTAGTGGATGCTGGTGGTGCCATGCCCCGAAGCCCTTAGGTGGACCCATCTCCAGTGGCTGGAAGTGTTGGCTGCTCGCAACTCACAGCTGCTTTCTTCTTGGATAATTGCCCTTGACCAAATGGGAGTCACTTCATCCTGGAAGCTACGCTCTCCTTCCCCCATGCCTTTGGGCAGACCTCCATCAATGACTGATGAAGAGGGTACAAAAGCAAAGCCTCCTTGCCTCAGTGGGGACAAACTCTGAGGAGCAAATCATGATCCAGAGCTTCCCTGGGATCAGACTGAAGGAGTCTCTAGACAAGACCATGTTTTTGCAGTTTCCCCTGATCTATCCTGCTTCCCCCATTTCTCTTCTCTTCAGAGAACTCCCCAACAAATCACTTGAATAAGAATCCCTGTCTCAGGCTCTGCCTCTGGAGAACCCAACTTAGGACATAAGCCATGGGTCACACTGTACCCCCAACCTGTGTATCGCTGCCAGATTACACATCACCTCTAATCAAGAGCCCTCATTGTTCCTATTAGCTGTATCATCAAGTCAAGACTTCTCTTCCCTACTTTTAAGTTCCGCAATGTGCCTTCCCTTCAACCCACCCAGCCTCATTTTCTTCTTTCCCCGATGTGCACCTTTCCTCTGGTTGGATGGGTTTCTTCCTGGTCCCGAGTTTGCCTGTGTCAAAAGGATTTCTGCCTTTTCTCTTTTCTTGTCCCCTTTCTTCCTTTATTCTTCCAACTCATCCCTCAATGCCTTGTCCGTGAAGCTGATCTCTTCCTTCTCTGAGTATCTGTGGCCTCCTTACAAAGGTTAATACAGTGTTTCCCAATGGCATCTCTGAGGATATGGGAAGTGTTGTGGGAATAAGGTACCAAATACCTTGGACATTCAGGGAGAAAGGTATTTCCAAATTCTGTCACAGTCTTTCTTAATAGATGAAGGAGAAACCTTACCCTGATATTAACCTTAACTTTTGGTCTCAGTTTGGTTCTAGTATTTGTGGTGTGTTTAACACACAGCCCTTTCTAATCTCCATTTTTAACAGCATCACCAGCAGCAGCAACAACAGACTTGGAGTTCCTGTATTTAACTGTCATTTAATGGTATTAATATTGTTTTCATTGCCTTTATTTTCAAGGCTTCCTTTTATTTATGGCACAGGATAATTGGCTTTCCATTTTTGGCAATGCTATAAAGTTTCTTTAAAAATAGATTTAATTCAATAAAAAAAGTGATATATAGAAATTAAGTGCATGATAGTGTCTATATTTCATAAATATGATAAAATTTGTGAAAACAGCACGCGATGGCTTAAGTTTGGGAAGCGCGAGTGCTGTCTGCTTCTGGGTGCACTGATGCATGTGTGTTACACTTGTCTCCCAAGCTGCTCATGAATGCTTTGAAGGTAAGGATGTTTTCTTATTTGTTTGACTTCTGTCTCAATGTTTTTATATGGTCTTAACCTTGTATTTTTATTACTCACATTGACAAACACAGATCTGGGTATCTAATAGGTACTCAATGCACTCTTTTCATTGATTGATTGATCTCGGTACTTTAGGTACCTCCTATTCCCCAGGCACTGTAATGGGTAATCGCAGTAAAAGATGAATATGACATGGTCTTGTCCTTGAAAAAATCTCACATAGTATAGTCAAGAGAGACAGAAGGTAAAATGGACACTATGATCTTGGCCACGAAAGAGGGAGTCGTCAATTCTCCCTCTGGCAATGGGTGAGAAAAATGGTTAGGACAGGTTCTGTTGAGGAAGAGGTGTTTAGCCGGGTATTTGAATATACACAGATGGGCCCCAGAGTATATGGGGAAGGGGGCATTGGCTGAGAGTGCTCCCTGCAGAGGAAACATCAGTGGTTCTGATGTTTGGAGTCTGGGGTTGGGAAGGCGTGGGAGAAAGAGCAGGTGAGGTATCGGTGGTAGAGAGCAGGCTCTGGGGTAGCTCAGAGAGGGCCCTGTACCTGAGCAGAGGTGTTTGGCCTTCTGGTGGTGAGGAGGAGTCACTGAGAAGTTCTACAAAGGGGGTTAACCACTGCTCAGATGTGGGGTATAAGGAAGATCACTCCAGTGGCCATGTGGACAATGGGGTGCTCCTGGAGGCAGGGAGGCCAGTTTGGGAGGCTGTTATCTGGGCATCCAGGAGAAGTTGGTGAGGCCTGGATGAGATGATGGTAGGGGAGACAAAGAGGAGACCACACGTGTGGAACAGGATGAGCTGCTGTTTCCTCTGCCTCCTTCTCTCAAACCCTGTGAAAACCTGACCCAGAGGGAGATGTGGGTAGGAATGAATGGACTGCTTTCCTGGATTGCCACCACCACCAGCTGCCTGGCATGGGTGTGTGTTTACCTTCTCACCCCAGCTTGTTCTCAGTCTGTACCTCCTGCTTGTGTCACATCTCTAGGAAATTGCCAGTCACCTCTGATGCCACTTTAGTTTTTTCTCTCCCTTTCCAAGTCAGGTACTAACATTCTCCAAAGAACTATTTGGAGTGACCGGCCTCATTCCTCTGCCGACCTGCAGGCTGGCTGCCCGGCTTCTGCTGTGCTCCCTGGCTCCTCCCCCACCACACAGCTCACTCCCATTGTAGTGGCCTCATGTCGACGCCCATCAGCATAAGAGACTATTAATGAGGATGGGAAGAGACACAGCAAAGAGGAAAGCACCACAATAAGATAAAAACAGATCAATATCGGAGCCAAACAGAGCAAGAGGTACTGAAAGCAATTCACAAGCTGTCCACTGCTCCACAGAGGCAGGCTTCCTGATAATCCCAGATGGATGCAGAAAAGAGAGAGATGGACAAAAAGCCAGAGCAGCGCACCAAAGGAAAGCAAAAAGCACGAGTTACCCAGCCAAAACTCATCCTCCAGGTTCCCGAAGCCAACACGGTAATCAGTCCATTTCCGGAAAAAATCAGTTTGGCCATTCTGCCGCCTCTGAAATACCTGTGAAGAGAAAGGGGGAGAAATGGGGAGATGCTAAGGAAAATAAACTGTAATGAGTAAAATTGATATAACTGGGTTTTGTATCTTCAATGACAAAGATGCCCAGATAAGAAATATTTCAGAACAGAGTTCGATATTTACACAGCAATTTTTGTAGGAGGTACTCAGAGCCCTTCTCTAATAGTCTGGGGTGCGATGTTGGCACCAGTGGGCACCCCTGCAATGTAGAAAGGATTCAGGATACATATCAAACCCCCAAGTAGTCAGGAGAAAGAGACTTGGCTCTTAAATTAATCTTTCGCACCTCAGAGTGCAGTAGAAAGCATAGGACCAGTTTCAAATCAGTGAGTAACTGTCCCCCTCCTAGTGCAGGCAAAGCAACTGCGTATCGTTCACTTTCAGAGCTGTTTAAGTGCTAATTTCATTTAACCTCAGACACATCAGCCTCAGCTTCAATTTCCAATTATGCTTTAAGAAGGAGGCACAAATATGTCAGAAATATAAAAAAAAAAAAAGTCTCCCAAGAGTAGCTGTTAGGAGCACAGCCACCATTTAACTCTGTTCCAAAACTACCTGCTTTGCACCGTGGAAAAGCCAGCACTGTGTGTTAGCTGCACTAGAGCGGGAATCTGCAGGAGGGTGGAGGGGCTGAGCTTCCACCCTGCACTGATTCAGATGATGCTGGATGGTTTAGGGCCAAGCTGTGGCAACTCTCCCATCTGCACAGTAGCCTGCATTGAGGTGGGGCCATCTGTGAAGCTGCCCTTTTTCTTCCACTCTGAACTGCCCTATCAGGCATGGGAAGCACTGATGCTCCGTGAGAGCTGTGACAGCTCTGAGAAGAACAAGGATGGAGTCAGGCGTGGCCTTGGTAACTAGAGGCGGCTCTCCATGTTCTGCTCCTCATCAGCTCTCCCAATGCAACCCCCAATAGAAGGATCCTAATCACGTCACCACAGAGAGGCTCACCTCCTCCTGCAGAGGTGCCCCTCCTCCACTGCTTTCTTATAGCTGCAGTCCTCAGCAGGCAAGATCCCTGGGTCTGCCTGAGCCACTACTGCCTTTCTCCAGCACCCTCTTGGCACAATTCCTCACACAGGGAGCAAGGGAGAAGGCAGTCATCCTGGAGTCCCTTCACTGGGCCAGGCCTTAATCTGCTTATTCCTTTCTCTGCCTGGACAAACCTATGATTGGGCTGCTGAACGAGGGTCCTGAGGGCCATGAAGAGCCCCAGGGTGGACATGTAGGGGGTGGATGAAAGGATGGTCAGGAGGATGGTGAAGTTTGGATGGACGGTGCTGAGCTTGGTGGACTGGAACACTAGGATATTTGCATGCAAGGAGAGCAGCTGCATCTACTTACAATCCAGCCGCCCCCGTCGGTGGTCATGTCACAGTACACTTGCAACTTCCGGCTTAGCTCCCCATTAAGGAAGATGGCGTAAACCCCACTCAGAGAGTCTCCATTCATCAAGTGCTGGGCACAGTCTTGAGGATGAGAGAACACCCGGCCCCCTGCACAGGATAAGAGGCAATTTACAGAAAGGATCCATATTCTCTCTATGCGTAAAGGCCCCTTGCATCAGAGAAGGTTTTAGAGGGCCTCATGGTGCTTCACCAAGAGCTGTAAGAAATCCTCAAAGAATCTCAGACAGTGTGTGGGTATGAGAACTCTGCAACAGCTTGCTTTCCCCTTCACCAACTGATGTTGGACTTATGAGACCATATATAGTTTTACAGGATCTGAGCACCAAAGAGCTGCACTCATGGTCTGGCTCCTCCACTTATCTATTTATTTGACTTTAGGCAAATAGCCTGAGTTCCTCGGGCATCAGTTTTCTTATCAATGAAACGTGATAATAAAAATCTCCCCCGTTGCAGGGTGAAGATGTGTTAAGGCAGTTAGTGATTGGTTACTCAGGTGATTACAGATGTACAAGCCAAAATAAATCACTGAAGGGTCGACCTTTCAAAAGGATGAGAGGCGTCTAAGCAAAATCTTCTGTCATCTTCACAGCAACCAACAAGGAATGCTCAAACAAGCTCAGCATTAGCAAGAAGGTAGATATCTATTCCCTGTACAGAATAATCTCCTGATTGGACTAAACAATCAAAGGGCCATATTTTACAGTTCAGTTTAAGTTTAAAGAGAGGGCAGGGGAAGTAAATTGCAGCTCATCTTTCAGAGAGAACAGCCCAATTTGTAGAACAATATCTAATTAGCTGAAAGAGAAGCTTAAATCATGTGTCTTGAAGAGCTTAGCTTCAGGGCAAATTTAAATACTTAGCGCACAAGCCAAGAGGCAGGCAAGAAGAGAGCCCAGTGGAGGAGCTCTTCTGGACTGCAGGAGTTGATAGAGCAAGTTGGAGGCAGAGCTTGCCACGTGAGGAAGGGTGGTTTGGGTGCTCTGGAAATAGAATGATCTTCTAGGGGTTGGAATGGTTCTGCATCCTTGGACTGCCACAGTCCTGAAGAGAGGCTGGGGAGGGACCGCACACTCAGTCACCACAGGGTACCCTAGTGGCAGAACCAGTACACTACAGGTGTGATGTAGGGTCACCTGGAAGGCCTGCTTGTGGGTCACATGAGGAAGGTGACATAGCAGCCTCATTGAAATCCCTGGTCATCTACGACCCTGTCACAGACCCTCCGTGAAGCATCATGGGTTAGGAAGAGGTTGTGGAGTTTGGTAGACTTTATGCAAGGCCCCTCTGCAGATGTGTTAACTCCTCCTAGCACAGGACTGTCCTTCAGCTTGCTGTCACACCATGGTCATGGTCATGGTCATTTAAGGTAGTTTAGAACAAAGGCATTGCCTACTTCAGGCATGGTTGCCCCAGGGAATAAAAATGTATTTCTATAGAACTTGTACTTTGCAAAGTGTATTTTTATTTCCATTTAATCCTTGCAAAAAACTTAAGAAGGCAGATTGGTATAGATCAAAGACTTACTTTACAGAGAAGGAAACTGCTCTCAGAAAGACCACATGACTTACTCAAGCCACTTGAACTCAAGATTTCAGACCCCAAGTGCAAAGTGCTCTTGGCACTCTACTAACACAGGAAATTCATGAATGCTGTGGTTTACTGGAGCTCTACATCTATCCATACAGCAAAGGATAAATTAGTATCTGTATTTATCTTATAAACATATAAAACCCCAAAGTTAAAGTTACCTCAAAAAGTTCTACGTTCAGGGCCGAGCCCGTGGCGCACTCGGGAGAGTGTGGCGCTGGGAGCGCAGCAGCACTCCCACCACGGGTTCGGATCCTATATAGGGATGTCCGGTGCACTCACTGGCTGAGCGCGGTGTGGCCGGTCTCAAAAAAAAAAAAAAAAAAAAAGTTCTACGTTCAAAATGAAAGAAAAAAAGAAAAACAAAATCAGTTCTATGTTCAAGTTAAATATCTTTACCCCCCTCCCCAAACATTTCCTTAATAGTTGCAGAAAAGCTGTTAACCTTCATCTCCCAGAACTCTTTGAAGTTCTTGACCTACCTATTCCTAGTGGTAACAGTTACAGTTATCAGGGGACAGGCACGTGTTGCCTCTGTCCCCTCTCCCTGCTGCTTTTATTTCCTGCTATTACTTCCTGGCTTCTAGGCCATTCCTGACTTGGTCTCTAGAGCAACCAGCCTGTCAGCTTTCCTTTCTCCCCTCTTCTCTCACTGCCTGTTTCTTATTTTATTTTATTTTATTTTATTTTTTTGTCTTTTGTCTTTTTTCCATGTCCGGCAATGGATCGCAACCCTCAGTGTTGCCCCCGTACCGGACCGGGGACCGGCAACGGATCGCAACCCTCGGTGTTGCTCCCGTGCCTCACTCAGCCAGTGAGCAGGAGCCGGTCTGTATGTGGGATCCGAACCCTCGGACGGGAGCGCCGCCGCGCTTCCCAAGCGGCGCACTATCCAGTGCGCCACCGGGCCGGCCCCTGTTTCTTATTTTAGATGATCAGCACATAATTATCTTGGTCTTCAGTTCACTCCTACCTTATGCACGAACAGCCCTTTCTCCTGAAGAAAAGTTTCTTCATTAAATCAACTCAGATTCTTAAAGAGCCCCAAATTTCTTCCCAATATCCAGCAAAACTTCTCCCCCTAAGCCTCAAAACAACCTCATACAAATATACATATAAAACCAAACCAAATTTCAGAATAGGGAAATAAATGATCTTACACAGGCTTCCTTACATTGATAATGTAGACTATTTAGTATTTATACTTTTAAACATATTAGTTGCTTTACAGCTAGACATAGTATAAACAAATATAGTAAACTGAAATGTCTTTTGGAGAAGGGAAGTTTTAAATATCTGAATGACTGTCATAAACAAGATATATTCATTTTTTAATGTCAAAAAATGAAAATAAAATCAACCTAAGAAAAAAGTGTTGTCTAAGGGATGCTGAAAGGTTGGATGGGATAAAGAACCCATATTGTGCCCTGAGAGAGGAAGGACCACGCTTTCTTTTTCTGGGCCCCCAGCATCGAGCCAGTTGGTGGAGACATTCACTAAACATGCATGAGGCTGATGCTTGGGTGCTGGGGCACTTGCCTTACCTCTGATAAAGTGAAAGGCCATCCAGTTATTTATAGATTCTATGGACTGTAATTGAGCCTGTGGCATTCATAGAAAGACCATCAACAAGCATTTTGCTTGTGCAGACTATCAGAGGCAGCACCCTGGGATTTTCACATTGGGGGCTCTAGGAGAAGACATGACATTCACCATGCAGCCAATCCTCTCCAACCCACTGCAGCCTTCAACACTGCTAGAGTTTTGCCTTACATCCACCAGTCCTTGATCAAATTATTATTCCTTTTCACCAGATGAAAAAAAGCAGAGGTTTACAAATAGTTCTCATACCAGGGACTTTATAAAAATTCAGATTTCTGGGTTTCATGGCAAGTCTACTGAATCAGAGTGTCAGGGTGGGTCCTGGGAATCAGTGTTTTACCAAGGTTCCTCAAATGAGTCTGAAGACAGCTGGACTTGAACCCCACCATTTGTCTGGCATATTTTCCTCTTCTCCTCAGAGAAGCCAAGAGGTGGAATTGGTAACTAGACAGTACCCCAAGAAGACCTGTGGTCTTTCTCTGCCTAGATCCATATGGCTGGGTGGATAAATAGACTGAATGTCTGTGTGTCTCTCTCAATCCCTGTCTATGTATGTGCCTCGCTCTTTCCCTTTCCTTCTCTCTCTCTCTTCTTCCAATTCTCTTTCCCAGTAGATATGTACTGAGTGGGCTGGTCCCAAGATTTAGGTTGGATAGGATGGGAAGGAGATGGGATAAGAGATTCTATTTGGCCTTGCATTTAAGTCTTGTGTTCCAGTTTTTATCACTTTGTTCTGCTTGGGGAGTTACTGACTTTGGCTTGGATGATAACAAAGAACACACTGATTCCTGTTCTGAAAGAAAATAAAATCAACCTAAGAAAAAAAGTTTTCAGTGTGCAGGTGCTGGAGTTTCATACATTATAGGAGATTGCCAGGTCAGGTTTCAGGCTTTCTTAGATCTCTGGATCACTATTTAATATTATCAGAAATTCACCTTTAATTCTAACATAGATCATCCCAGTAATTTTTCCCAAGGCAGAAATTTTAGGACCAAGAGCAAAACTGGAAGGCTTTTCTTCCCTTTGGTGCAGTAACCAGAGTGTGGCCTGACAAAGAAGGATTTTTTTTTAAGCACAAGCTGTGGTGATTACCACATTAAAAGGAAAGCAACACCAAGTGATCAGTACACTGAAATGTCTCATGGTTAAGTGTTTCTGGATGTAATTGTGAGATCAACAGGACCAGGGCAGTCACTGGAAGAATTGCTCCAAAATTGGTTTGTGTTGGGCATTGGAGGCTGAATGCTGTGAGTGGAGTGGAGCCAGCTACATACGTGCCACGTTGCACGATCAGACATCACCCGGCTGGGTGGGCGTGGAGGAGGAGACTTTGTCCCTGTGCTGCCCTGACTTGTTTTGGATCCTTGAATGCAGTCTTTAAAATGCTCAAATTTAATACCTCTGGAGAGCGTCTGCCCACTGCCTTCTCCTATGGCATCAAACTGAAGCCAGGAAGTCAGCATTTCCTTCTGAGGACAGCCTCAGCACGTTTCTCTATAAATGCAGAGCAAAGTGTGTTGCTCCATAGAGGCATAAGTGACCACCTCTGGCTACAGCATTTAGATTTGTTTTTTCAGAAGTATGTTCAGCTTTCAACCATCCCCCCTTGTCAGCATTAATGGCCCACATTTGCAAAGTACCTGGCTAACCTGTGAGGAGCAGTCTGAGTCCCTGGACAGGGCAAGGTTACCTGTTCAGCCCATCTAGGCTGCTGAACCTACCTCCTTAGCCTCCTCACAGCATCTTCCAATTCATTTGCCTGTTTATTCTCTTATGTATTCATTCAATAAACACACAGGGAGTGTCTGCTGGGTTCTAAATACTGGGCTAAGAGATGGGAATATAAAGAAGAAAAAGACACAGTCCTGCCTTTCAGGTTACTCACACTCTGATAGGAA